GAGACGGAGGGGGAGACCGAGACCGAGATGGAGGGGGAGATGGAGGGGGAGACCGAGAAGGAGGGGGAGACCGAGACAGAGATGGAGACGGAGTCAGAGGCAGCGACCGAGACGGAGGGGAAGACCGAGACGGAGGGAGAGACCGAGACGGAGGGGGAGACCGAGATGGAGGGGGAGACCGAGACGGGGGGGAGACCGAGATGGAGGGGGAGACCGAGACCGAGACCGAGACGGAGGGGGAGACAGAGACGGAGAACGAGACCGAGAAGGAGGGGGAGACCGAGACGGAGACGGAGATGGAGTCAGAGGCAGAGACCGAGATGGAGGGGGAGACCAAGACGGAGACCGAGACTGAGGCCGAGACGGAGGGGGAGACCGAGACCGAGACGGAGGGGGAGACCGAGACCGAGACGGAGAGGGAGACCGAGACCGAGACGGAGGGGGAGACCGAGACCGAGACGGAGAGGGAGACCGAGACCGAGACGGAGGGGGAGACTGAGACCGAGACTGAGACGGAGGGAGAGACCGAGACCGAGTGAGACGGAGGGGGAGGCCGAGACTGAGACCAAGACAGAGGGGGAGACCGAGACCGAGACCAAGATGGAGGGGGAGACCGAGACCGAGACAGAGGAGGAGACCGAGATGGAGGGGGAGACTGAGACCGAGGCCAAGACAGAGGGGGAGACCGAGACCGAGACCCAGACCGAGACGGAGGGGGAGACCGAGACCGAGACCGAGACCGAGACGGAGGGGGAGACTGAGGGGGAGACTGAGACCGAGACGGAGCAGGAGACTGAGACCTAGACGGAGGGGGAGACCAAGACCTAGACGGAGGGGGAGACCAAGACCGAGACGGAGGGGGAGACCGAGACCAAGATGGAGGGGGAGACCGAGACCGAGACGGAGGGGGAGACAGAGACTGAGACCGAGACCTAGACGGAGGGGGACGGGGAGACTGAGACCGAGACCGAGACGGAGGGGGAGACTGAGACCGAGACCAAGACCGAGATGGAGTGGGAGACAGAGGCCGAGGCCAAGGCCGAGATGGAGGGGGAGACCGAGACTAAGACCGAGATGGAGAGGGAGACAGAGGGGGACACCGAGACCGAGACCGAGACGGAGGGGGAGACCGAGATGGAGAACAAGACTGAGAAAGAGGGGGAGACCGAGACAGACAGTCAGAGGCAGAGACTGAGACGGAGACCGAGACTGAGACGGAGACGGAGACCGAGACCGAGATGGAGGGGGAGACCGAGATGGAGAACAAGACTGAGAAAGAGGGGGAGACCGAGACAGACAGAGTCAGAGGCAGAGACTGAGACGGAGACGGAGACGGAGACGGAGACCGAGACCGAGACCGAGACCTAGACGGAGGGGGAGACCGAGACC